GGGGGAAGACGGTAGGCAGTAGCCAGGCGTGAATACATCATGAGTTGACAGCTAATCTGTTGTCATAGGAAAGAAGACTTTCACTATCAAGAGGCATTACTGTCTTGTTCACCTTGCGTGGTCTCGGTCTCAATTCTGCTTTTGGGGTTGGTCAAATCATGCATTTCACTCGATGAGTACGTGCCAGTCAAAATTTCCCGTTCTCACATGCTGGTTTCTTTCAGTGTGGTACCGGAGTGGTACCTCTGGTTATCATCCAAGCTTGTGAGGCAATGCGAGCTAGGACGTGTGGTGTCTGCGCTCATTGACCTAGCAGCTGGGTGAGCTAGGACGTGTGGTGTCTGCGCTCATTGACCTAGCAGCTGAGTGAAGGTCCGTATCAGTCCGTGTTCCAGTGAGTCCATGAGGCGCATTTCCTCCAGACGCAAAACGCAATTCTGAGATCGGAGGCATGTGTGGCTACTAAGTTTGCTGGTATGTGCTGCTCGATCCTATTGTATTTACTCTCAGGCATCTGCATTCCTCCTGCCCGTGGTCCAAGTGTCTACTTCGCGAGATAGGCAGCTTCCTCTTTGTCCACCAGCGGCTTCAGCCTCTTCCCCCAGCTGGCAAAGTTGGTCAAGAATAGAACGGGCCCGGTTACCATGGCCACCCCGAAGGCTGCCCTCTCTGGCGCTATTCCACATCTTAGGAGATGGAGATCATAAAGGCTTGCTTCCAGCACTTGGCACTATTGCCAAATCAAGCCCTCTGCCAACCTTGTGGTCCCTAGTAGCTGCACCTGCACTGGCCTAAGCTCCACGGTCCCATCTGGTCCTTCCAGTCCTCTGGGTTGCCTGACTGCACCCCTTCTGAGAAGAGTGGTGTAATTGCATCTTCAAACTGTTTTACTATTGTCCCATCTGCAAGGTCCCAGGCTGCCACCGTGACGAGGGCTCAATTTTTTTTTGGCTCCTGTCTGCTTATCTTCTGCGGTGTCAGGTGAGTGTCTTCAACTTACATGTGCATAATCTATTGCTAGGGTATCCAGCGCATAGTTAGTGCCCAACATATAATTTACAGTACTATTGTCTATACTCTACAGAGTTTATAGGTACTTTTATCTTTGGGTATGTCTATACATTGTGTATAGACAGTCTATACACAGACTGTACTTCGTGAATGTGTAGTCTATACAGATATAAACTACACATACACAAAGTAAAGTCTACATATTATGGCCATTTTTGTAGTCTATACAGATATAAACTACACATATACAAAGTAAAGTCTACATATTATGGCCATTTACTATGTATAGACTATGTATACACTATGAATACACTTATGTACTACGTATGCAGTGCAGTCTATGTGCTAAGGACTATGGATAGACTCTGTACTATGTATACAGTGCAGTCAATGTACTATGTCCGTAGATGAATCTGTAGTCTATACAGATATAAACTACACATATACAAAGTAAACTCTTCATATTATGGACATAGACTGTGTATAGACTTATGGCCATTCACTACGTATAGAGTATGTATACCATCTGCATACAATTATGTACTATGTATGCAGTGCCAGTCTATGTGCTGAGTATGTATACCATCTGCATACAATTATGTACTATGTATGCAGTGCAGTCTATGTGCTATGTAAGGACTATGGATAGACTATGTACTTATGTATACAGTGCAGTCAATGTACTACGTCCACAGACTATGTATACACTATAAACTCTGACTCGCATACTGATAGACTATCTACAGAGTATATACAAGTATGGACCGTTTACACCATGTGAGAGTAGGTATAGACATTCTACAGACTTACTACAGCGTACTAGACTTTATAGAGTCTGACTTAGTGCAGAGTACTAGACTGCTGTGAAGGGGTGAAGAGACATAAGGAAAAAAGACAAGGAGACGCGGGGGCAAGAAGAGATGAAGGGAGGCAGAAGTAGAGGAAGGAGGAGAGACGGAGATCTGTCTGGGTGTGCAAGGGGTCGAGGGGAGGCAGAGGGTGCGCAATCGTGGCGTCTTGACAAGGTGCAGGGGAGATGGAGCGCGCAGATGAAGCGCAAACAGGAGGCCACGAGAGTGCGTGTGTGTGTGTGTGTGTGTGTGTGTGTGTGTG